TGGGGGAGGGATAGCTCAGTGGTTTGAGCATTGGCCTGCTAAACCCAGGGTTGTGAGTTCAATCCTTGAGGGGGCCACCTGGGGATCTGGGGCAGTAATTGGTCCTGCTAGTGAAGGCAGGGGGCTGGACTCGATGACCTTTCAAGGTCCCTTCCAGTTCTAGGAGATAGGATATCCATTGGGATGCGGGGCAAACGACTGATGAATATCGGGACGTCTGGTCACCTTAACTAACTGTAACACTGAAAATAAAACTGATCAGCTTTGTGGGAGAGACTTAAGGAGATCAGCACTCATTGGGTCTCTTCTCTCAGCCAAGGCTAGGCAGAAACTGCTCTCTCCTGGCTCTCATCCTATCAGCTGGGTGATGGGGAGCTATTTACCCATATGAAGGGCTTTGAGTGCCCCCCAGTCCAGGGGCTGCTAGTGCTGCTGTGGGCTGGCAGGTGGTTGCTAATGGGTGTCAGGCTCTCAGCTGCCCAGCCAGAGGGGGCATTGGGAACCTCATTAGACCAGCTCTGCGCAGGGGTGGGGGCAGACAGAACCCTGCAGACGCTCCCCAGGGCACGGAGCCGGCAGCCCACACAACCGGGAAATGTACATTTTGCACCACCCAGTGCCGGGCGTCCAGCCCTGTCAGCCAACAGCACTTCTTGGACCCCAGCTAAGGGCTGTGGGTTCCTCTGCAGAGCACGAAACAGCAGCTCGCTTTCCTGTTTGCATCCTGCTGTGGTAGGAACCCAGGGGGCAGGGGACATGCCCCCCCGCCCCGGCACCCCTGCCTTAGCCATATGGGCACAGTTATGCCCCTGCTCTCAGCTTTGCCGGAATGGGGTCTAAGCCAGGGGTTCTCAGACTTTTGTCCTGGTGACCCCTTTCACACAGCAAGCCTCTGAGTGCGACCCCCTTATCCATTAAAAACACTTATTTATATATTTAACACCATTATAAATGCTGGAGGCAAAGCAGGGCTTGGGCTGGAGGCTGACAGCTCGCAACCCCCTGAGGGCTCCTGCCCCCCAGTTTGAGAACCCTGGTCTAAGGGCAAATCTCTTCTCTCGCTGAGTTCACTGGTTCCTCCGGACTGGCCCCGCAGCAGCCGCTTTGCAGAGCCCGGCCCAGGACACTGCAGGGCTGGGCCTGGGAACTGCGCCTCCAAACTACATCCCCCAGCAGCGCCCCACGTGCTCAGAGCGCCGCTGCCCAGCCCAAAACTACATCCCCCAGCAGCCTCCGGGGCCTGCGCATGCTCAGTGGAGGGGAAGAGCAACAGGAAGATGGAAGGGGGGAAAGAGAGGCTCAGGAGTAAGTGAAATTTAACTCAGCAGCCACATCAAGGGCAGCTGCCTGCAAGAGGAGAGCGCCTCGGCCTGCGGAGATTCCAGCCCACAAAGGGTTAACTAACCCCAGTTTCCTGCATTGCTGCTTCTGTGGGAGTTGGTGAAACTTTTTTGGAAGTAAGTTTTCTCTGCATGACAGATGTGTGCAGAGAGGCAGGGAGGTTTGTGCCTAATACACCTCTTGCTTCTGGGTCATTTCCTAACTGAAAGGTGCAAGGATCGCCCAGCGCATCTGGGGGATTCCCTTCCTGGCCTTCAGCCCGGTCTGATGCAGCGAGGAAAGAGGGATTCAAAGCAAGTTCTTTAGAAATAAGTTTGATGCATAAGTTGGGGCTGGGGAGAAGGAGCCAACCCATGAAGGGCTTGGCCCAGAATGAGGGGATCTGGTCTGTTTATTCAGTGGTGACTCCTGTGAGATGTGGGTCACTAGTCGTGGTGCTCCAGGCATCTTCAAAAAGTGGGCAACGTTGCTTTGAACTTACTAGCCCAGACACAAGAGTTAGTTGCCCACCTTTGTGAGTCTGGTCCTGCAATCGGCCCCCCTTCGGCCCAGTGGAGCTGCAGCGAAGTCCGTGCCCTGGCAGCCCCTGGGAGTGGAAGCCTGGAGGGGTCTGATTGCAAAATCAGGGCCTAGCTAATTGGTTTTACTCCCCAATCTAATGAAACCACCTTGTTTGGGGGCAGTATCATTTTCTAAGGCTAAATTGTGGTTGTGGGGCCAGATTCTGCTCTCAGTGATGCAGGTCTAAATCAGGAGTCGGTCCATGGACTTCAGTGGATTCACTCTTGATGTGCACCGGTGAATGCAGAGTGAGGCCTCCTTGTTTGCACTTCGGTGTGAGGGGGCGTGTGGGGTGCTGGGGGCTGTGACATTTCTACTTCCCGGATGAGACCGAGAGGAAGCAGCGGGGGGATTCAGCATTCTCAGCACAGCTGCTGGGAGAGACCCAGGATGCAGCCAGCCTTGTCCTGCTGGGATCTGAGGGTGCTGCCCAGCATCTCCGTGCACATCTGTGGATCCCTGCCCTCCCGGGGCAAGCAGCTGATTCTGGGTAATGCGGCCCAGCAGAGGTGGACACAATAGCTCCTCAGAAGTCGTTTTTTTATGAGTCTCCTGCACTAACCCTGGGGCTGGATTCCCTGCAGTGCTACCAAGAGAGGGGGTTGAGCCCCATTGCAGGCAAGGAAGCGCCCACCCTCTTCAGGTTAGACAGTGGAAATGTTTGGAGAGGGACTAAAGCTAGAATTGTTAATGTGGTCCCAGGGCACCAGACTGGGAGTCAGGACTCCTGGGGTCTGTTCCTGGCTCTGCCACTGACTCACTGCCTGACCTTGGGTAAGTCCCTTCGGGCACAGTTCTCACAAGTGGCTACTGGCTTTGGGTGCCCAACTTGCGAAACCTGGAAGGGGGCCGATTTTCAGAAGTGCTGAGTGCCCACAACTCGGAGCGGGAACCGAGGGGGCTCAGCACCTCTGAAATAATCAGTTTGGGCTCCCAGGGTCAGTAGCCGTCAGCAGCGCATCAGAGAGACTGATGTGGGTTTGCAGACTTCCCCAGCGTAGTCTGTGCGCTGGCCGGCACCTTACTCCCATTGATTTCAATTCCTCCCTGCGGCGGAGAACCTGGACCTGAGGTCCATGGCATGTGAGACTCCACACGGCTGCTCCTTACGTGTTTCAATGGCAGGAACAGCTTAGCAGCTGCCTTCGTTAATTCAGCCCTGCCCGGCCTCTGCTGCTTATTTCCATCCAGAAGATCCGGGGCTGGATCCTCCGCAGGCCTGACTCAGGGCAGCTCTGCAGAGGATCTGGTCTATGACGTTGTCTCTGCTCTTCCTTTCAGTCCTGCCCATTTCTAACCTCGAATACCTCTCTCCTTCTGTTCTCAGTGTAGGGCGAGTTTCTTCTTCCTCACCTGGGCAGGAGCGACCATGATGGACAACGGCATGGACTTCCAAACCGACGCGCGTCCAGAACCTGGCTTTGGCAGCCACAGCCTTCCCGGGGAGCTCCTGGAGCCTCCAGCCATGGACCTGGAGGAAGGGGCCTCGCCAAGACTGGCCATGCCAACAGCCTGTGAACAAAGCCTGCACGGCCTGCAGCAGCCTGGATCCCCCTTCAATGCCCTGCGCGCCGACCTTAACCCCTCTGCCGCTGAGGCTGAACTGTGTCTCGGTGCAGCCATCACAGAGCCGACTGTCCCCGAAAGTGCCCTGGGGGGCCTGCAGACCCCCAGCTCTCCAGCTGCTCTGGACTCAGCCCTCCGGGCAGCTGGGGAAGCTTGTGATGACGCTCGCAGGGACCTGGGAGGGGGGATGGAAGGCTGTGAGGACGCTGCAGTACCTGGGAGCGATGCTGACTGGAAAGGGAACCCAGAGGGAGCCCACCGCGGGGTGGGTTGTCCCAGTGACCTGGTTTGCATGGACCTGGATGAGGAGCCTGAGGCCCACCTGAGAGGGGAGGAGTGGGCCGAGAGCTTGGAGGAGGACGACCAGTTGGAGATCCAGGGCCTCCTCACCCAGCTCCAGACCCTTAGCCCCAGCTTCCGCGACGACTCGCCTGCCTCGGAGGACGACCCGCTGCTGGCGTCGGACTGTGGCGCAGGCCCTTTTGGGGGAGACGCGCCGCTTCCCCACCAACCGGCCTTTGGCTGCTGCCGGGGCCTGCCGGGCGAGTGCCCTCCCTGCCTGCTGCACGTCGCCATGGGGAGAGGCCTGGCAATGCCGTCCTGCCACGCTCAGCCCTCCGCCTGCTCCCAGAGGAGCCGGGAGAGCCACGGCCTGCTCTTTGCAGAGGCTGACCGGGAGGACTTGCTAAGCCTCCTGCACCACGAGGGGGGGCTCCCAGCGGAGGCCAGTGAGGAGACCCCCCTCGCCAGGTCAGACGTCCTGGCCGGAAGCAACGGGGAGGCCCTGCAGAGCCAGGAGAGCCCGGTGGCCCAGCAGGCGGAGGAGGCCGCTTCGCAGCCAGGCAGCTCGCAGGCAGAAGGCTCCATCCGGTGGTATCGGAAAGGGGGAGCCCATGAGGGAGACTCTGCCTGCATGTCCCCGGGCAGTCGGGACAGCTCCCCAGAGCCTGTGTGGGTGGCCATGTCCCCTCCTCCCAGCCGGGGCCTGGAGCAGCCCACCCCCAGGAGCACGGCTGTGAGTGCTTTGCATGCTGGCTGGGGGTGTGCTGGCCCCGGGCACCCTGGGGTGGGGTTGGGCTCTGGGCCACCTTGCCCTGGGGGGCCCTGGGATTGGGTGGGGCTCTGAGCTACCTCTGGATGCCAGGCCTGGAGCTGAGCGCTCTGACAGATCCCGTGACAATGGCTACGCGGGGCGGTTGGGGGTCAGCCCTTGGCACAAGAGTCGCTGCCGGCTGCCCCCAGGCTGGGGTGGGAGGGGAGCAGGATGTGGAGAGTGGCTGCCCCTGGCTTCCTGCCATGTGTAGGGTATGGGGGAGGCGTTCCTGAGGGCAGCCGGCAGGTCGAGGGGCTGCTGACACCCGTTGTTATCCTGCAGCTAGAACATCGCCTACCCAGGCTCCCCAGCAACTTGACCTGTTCCCCCTCCCCGCTGGGGTCACATGACTCTGGCCTATCCCCAGGCCGCTGAGCTAACCCAGAGGCCTCCACCCTGGCAGCAGCTGCCCACTGACCTCAGCATCCCTGGCCTGCCCTTTCCTCTGCTCCCTCGCGCCCCCTGCCCAGAGCACTGAGCCCTTTGGCGTTGTCCTGCTGCTGCTCTCGGTTCCCCTTTGGCTGCTGCCAGGAGGTTAGTTCGCTCTTGTGCCCATGGAGGTGGCCGGCAGGTATCCCGGCTTCTGCGTCCCCCTGGCTGCTGACACTCACTGATCTCGTGGTTGCTTTGTAGGTTAAAGAATCCCGGGCGGCCTATCCGGCCTTCAAAGAGGGTGAGTGACTCGTCCGCTTGTAACAGGGATAGAACCCAGGCGTCCTGCCTCCCCATCGCCGGCTCTGACCACCAGCTCGTGGGCCTTAGTGTGGGTGGCAGCCTCTCCCGGATGCTGTGTGGTTAGTGCTCGGCAGGCCGGCCCAGCCTGGCAGGGGAGGGGAGGGGATTTATGAAGGGGGGGAGGGGCGTGTCTTTCGCTGCCCTGGCTCATGGGAGGAAGGCTTTCTGGCTGCCATGTCCTGGGAGAGGGGCCAGCATGAGGACCCTGGTTCGAATCCTGCTCTAGTCACAAGTGACCTGTTGTGGCCCGTGTAAAATGAGTTTGGGGGGTCACAGTCGGGTCCCCATGCTGAGTAAACATTCTCGCGGCAGTCTGTGATGGGGGCCCCAGGGCAGCCGCAGCAGGGAGGTCGAGGAAGCTGCACTCCCTTTTTGCACAAGGAAGGGGTCGCTCCAGCTCAGGGCTCGGGCGTGTGTGTGTGTGTGTGTGTGGCGGGAGGGTGGAGAGGGCGCTTGCCCAGCCACTGTCAGTGCCCTCAGCCTCTGGGGCTGCCGACGTGGCGCCTCCCAACAGCACATGCAGGACAAGGAGATGCCATGGGGGCTTGGCAGGATACCCAGCTGGGGACGCATCCATCTCCCCTGCAGCTACCTCCAAGGGAGCTCAAAGGTGGGGTGTCATGGAGAGCTGCCTTGGGAGGGGTGTGAAAACCAGGATTGAAAAGCCAGTTCTGGTGATGCCTGCTGCTGCTCCGGCCCAGCCACTCGCCAGACCTGGCCAGGTGCTGGGCCTGGCTGGATGCACGTCTCTGTGTGAGGGGGGGAGCTTCTCCCTGCTCCGCAGAGGCTGCCACCCAAGCAGAGGGGCACGCGTTGGGCTTCTTCCCACGGGGGTTCAGGTCCGTGAAGCAGGGGGCACGGTGCCTTGGCTGATCTCACTCACGCTGAGGGGCACTGCAGGAACGCTGGGGAGAGCGAGATGGGAATCACGCCCTGCTGAGGCATGGGGTAACCTGGCCCCCAGGATAAAAGGCTGCTAAGAGAGGCCATGCCCCCTCCCCTCCCCCCACCTGCAGTCAGCAGCAGCTGGGCCTGGCTCCAGCCCGGTGTCTCAGGCCATGGGCATTGCAGGGAGGGGAGGAGCGGGGAGGCCCTGCCTTTGCTGACACCTTCCCCTGGCTTCTCAGTGGCAGGCCCCTGTGAGCCGGAGGATCTCCTGGACGGAGTGATCTTCGGAGCAAAGTATCTGGGCTCCACACAGCTGGTCTCGGAGAGGAACCCCCCCACCAGCGTCCGCATGGCGCAGGCCCAGGAGGCCGTGGACAGGATAAAGGTGGGTGAAGGCGCCGGGGGAGCCGGGCGGTCGCTAGTCAGTGCGCGCCGGTCCTGTCGAGATGAGCCCCTGGCACTAGTTGGTTTTCACTCGCCAGGAGCCAAAGCCCGGCTGTCTAAGACTGCCCAGCCACGGTGCCCCCATCAATGCAGCTGAGGAGGTGCCCTCTCCTGCCCAGAGCACAGCGTGCATCCTCCTCTGCCCTCTCCGCCCTGCGCCTGTCGCAGGCGGCTCCTGGGCTCACTGGGCTGGCCTGGCCTGGCCTGGCAGCAGGTCGAGGGAAGTGTGGGCCCCGAGGACAGGATCCTTGTCCAGAGCAGCCGCGGGAACGGACTGGGTGCAGCGGGACAAAGCTGAGCCTGTCATGAGCGGATGCCTGTGTTTGCATCAGGTTCTCACCCACCCCTGCCATTGCAGCCAGCAGTTGGGCTTTGACCGGGGGGGGAAAGAGTTGGACACCCCCCTTTCCTGGGGCCCCACTCCAGAAGTGGGTGCTGCTGACTTCCCCGAGGTGTGTAGCTCTGTTTATACTCCGACCTGTAGGCTGCAGGGAGCAGGTGTGAAGAGCAGCGAAAGCAGGTCACTCCTGGGTCCGGCTGCAGCTGGAAGCCGAGCTCCCGCTCGCTAGGCTGGGTGGGGGAAGAGTTCATTCGAACAGGGTTCCAGCAGTGGGATGCAGAGAGACGAGAGGGAGGAAGCCATGGTCAAAGCACAGGCCAGGGAGTCAGGAGACCTGAGTTCCAGTCCCACCCCTTCCACTGGGTGACACTAGGCCAGGCATGGCTTCTCTGTGCCTCAGTTTCCCCACCTGTAAAAAGAGGCTGATCCATTCCTCCTGCGTGGGCTGTCTGTAAAGTGCTCACTGAAGGTTGCTCTGGACGGGAGTTGCCCAGAGATCGGGTAGAGGAAGGCAGGGCAAACCCAATCCCTTATGTTAGCTGCTGTTAGCCAGCTCTGGCATTCCAATGGGCTGTGAACTAGTAACCCGTCGCCCATCCCAGCACCCCAGACTGCATGTTCATGGGGACCCATTGCTCCTTGAGGGGAAACGGAGGCACAGAGAGGGGCGGTGACTCACCCCTGGTCACAGAGAAAGTCAGGGCAGAGCTGAGAATAGAACCCAGGAGTCCTGGCTCCAAGTCCCTCTGTTTGTTAGAGGGTGGAGAGGGATGGGAGGAGAGAGATCACTTATGTTTGAACCTCTGCCCTGGGGCTACTGGTGACCACACACACGGGTGCTTTGTCCTTACCGTGCTGCAGGCGCCGGATGGGGAGTCCCAGCCCATGACCGAGGTGGATCTGTTTGTCTCCACCCAGAGGATCAAGGTTCTGACGGCCGACTCGCAGGTGTGTAGGAAATGGGATGTCGTTACAGGGGGTGGGTCACTTGTGCTAGGAGAACTGGGCTTGTTCCTGTTAGAATCCTCCCCCCTTGGGACGTCGCCTTCTCTGCACCCCACCCCCTCTAACCCGGATCAGGGCACTTGGCCCGTGCAGGAAACAGGCCTTAGGCTGAGTGTGAATCCCTGTCGACTGCACGTGGTGCAGGTGTCCTGGGGTTGTGATCCCACCCGGATAAAGAGGCCTTTCCTCCTGGAGGATCCACTGGCGTCAGTGGGGATCACACAGCTGCTGCCAAAATGCAGCCACCTCTGGGGTGGACCCAGCAGCAGTTAAAAGTTTACACGTAAAGGGAAAACCAATTGGTTTTGGCCTTAGGCCAGAGGCGCCAACTTTCTAAGGTGCCAGGGGGTGCCTGACCCCCAGCTCTGCCCCAGGCCCTGTCCCCACTTCACCCCTTCCCCCAAGCCCCCGCCTCTTCCCCAACGCCTCCTGCACGTGGTGGAACAGCTGATCACCGCAGGTGGGAGGTGCTGGGAGGGAGGGGGAGGGAGGGGGAAGTGCTGATTGGGGGGCCCGTTGGTGGGTGCTCAGCACCCACCATTTTTTTCCGGAGCACCCACGGGGTCGGTGCCTATGCCTTAGGCCTCCTCTAGGTTCAGAGCTGCGCTGGTACACAACCCTGCGGGCATGCTCCTAAACTAATCTAAACCTGGTTTCTATTGATTGATTATGTCAATATACGCCAGGTGTCAATCTCCGCCTGAGCGTCCAGGCAGGGTTCCGCAGCAGTTTCACTGGGTGGATACAGAAAGCCGAGGAGGATTCGTGTTCTCCTTCCTAACCATCGGCCTGTGCAGTCAGGTCTCCGCTGGCTTTGCTGGAGGTCTCCTTGCAGGACCCACAGGAGTGGCTCAGGAGTCCAACCTGTAACTCCGAGGGGTGTTCTCCCAACCGTGTGGCCAGCATTTGAGTGAAATCGTCACCAGAGCCCCGCTAAGATCCCTTCCCTCCTCTCGGTTAACAGGCTCCCCTGGCTTGGAGCCTGTGCTCCCGTAATCCTGCTGGCACTCCAGCTGTCCACCGAGGCCACCAGGGCCAGCGGGGTAGATGACCCCTGAATTTCTCATGCCCCTCCCCCCAGGAGGCCATGATGGACCATCCGCTCCAGACCATCTCCTACATCGCGGACGTCGGCAGCGTCGTCGTGCTGATGGCGCGCAGGAAGCTGCCGCGGCGGGCAGACACCTCGGGGGAGAAGCGGCTCTACAAGATGATCTGCCACGTCTTCCATTCGGCTGACGTGAGTCTGAGCCCGGCGGGCATGGCAGGGGGCAGAGCGTCGCTCGGGGGCTTTACACAGACTCCAGATCCCAGTCCTACCCAAAGCCCAGTAGGTGTCACGAGCTGGGGGTTCTCAGCTTGGCCTCCAGGTGGTGCTGTTCCTTGAGGCGGTTCAGTTGCACCTCTCTCTGCCGCTGTGCTGAGCCTTGTGCCTGTGGGGCTGGGAGCTCACTCACCCCCATCTCCAGCCGCCTTGGGTCCATCTCGGAGACAGTAAAGAGTGCTGGGGGGGAGGGGGTCCTCTGTACTGTAGGGAATGCCAGGGCTGGGGGGGAGGGGAGAGGCCTGGGGGTGTCTGTGCCATAGAGCTGTCCCTGGTTGGGTGAGGGATGGGAGAGGCTTGAGGGTGTCTGTGCTGTAGAGGGGGCCCCGCCTGGGTAGGTGTGGGGGTATCTCTCCATAGAGGGGGTTGGAAGTGTCTGTCCCCGCCCCCACCCGCAATACATCCCAGGTTCTCTGCAGCTGCCGTAGCAGGGTTTGGCTGTGCCCTGACAGGCTGGCGGGATGGCAGATGGGTTGGCTTTGACCCCCTGGCACTGCCCAGGCTCCTGGGCGCTGGGTGCGTTGGAGGGTGGAGCCCTGTACCCACAGGCGCCCCCCTGCCAGGGTAACCTCAGGGTACTTCCTCCTGCAGGCTCAGCTGATTGCCCAGGCCATCGGGCAGGCCTTCAGCGTGGCTTACCAGCAGTTGCTGCAGGCCAGCGGCATCGACCCGAGCCAGCTCTCCGCCAGCCAGGACAGCCGCGCCCTGGAGAGCCAGGAGCTGCACAACGGGGACCTGGCCCACTTCTCCAAGCAGGAGAACTGCAAGGAAGTAAGAGCTGCCTGCAGGGGCGGGGGGTGGGACGGGATCCCTGGCACCCCGCGCTCCAGCTTGGTTCCCTGCAGCGCCTCCTGCTGGTGTTTGTTGGGAGCCTCCTGTGTTGCGACCTGCCAGTGCCGTGCTGGGGAAGCTGAGCCTGGAGGAGCCGGGGGCTCCCGCGTGGCCAGTGCCCCACTCCCTACAGCCTCCCGTCCAGTACCAGTGCAGCACTGCACCCTCTGGGACCCAGGTCTGGAGTAGCTGCGTCACCCAGTCCTCTTGGTGCCTGCCGCAGCCCGAGCTCCCGGCCGCGCGGTCACCAGCCCCGAGGGCCCCCTGGGCCCGCGCCGCAGCTCAGTGGGCCCCATGCTCTGCCCGGCCTGCAGGTCTGCATCCGCAAGCAGAAGGGGGAGATCCTGGGTGTCGCTGTGGTGGAGTCGGGCTGGGGCTCCATCCTGCCCACCGTGGTCGTCGCCAACCTCATGCATGGGGGCCCCGCAGAGAAGTGCGGGGAGCTGAGCATCGGGGACCGGCTCATGTCCGTCAACGGGACAAGCCTGGTGGGGCTGCCCCTCAGCACCTGCCAGAGCATCATCCGGGTGAGAAGCAGCAGGGGAGATGGGGGGGGGGGGGGGGGGGGGGGGG